CGTGCGGAGGGATTATCAGAATGACCACCATGACTTCTGATGTTTGAAAATAAAATTTCTATATGGTCTTGGCTAATTTTTTGTAGTGGTAAATAGGTAAGTGCAGTGTTTGGACCTAATACTAGATCGTTAACTATGCATTTAGCACTTTCAGTGCATACAAGAAACCCTAAAAATCCTGTGTACCGAGGACTCTTTAAAAGATTAACTCGCTTGTATACATTATTACGAGAAATTACATTGGTTTCTAAGTTTAATAGAACATCTTTAGCATCGTCCAACCTGGCAAAGTTTCTTTCATAGTTATTAATATTTAATGCTTGTTTAAATCTTTTAGACCAAGTTTTTGAGTCGAGAATATCAAAAACATCATTATATAACTTTAAAAATTTTGCTGTGGGCGCAACGTCTTCAAATAAAGGTAAATTTAGTACATTTTTGCAAAATAATAAGGCATTTGCAACACTAGTGCTGAAGAGTTGGGCTGCTAGCCGGACATTCATTATTTTAGTTTTAAAATATATATGATTAGCTTTTAATTTATTTGCCATGTAAAAAAGTTCATTCTCCTGTAACTCATGCATATTTTGCAAATGTGACCACCGGATTTTATCATCAGAAGCACTTTGGATAAAATATTTATAAAACTCAAAAGCATTACGTACCAGTTTCAGCATATGGCAGGGATCTAGAAAAAAGAAAATTTTGTGCCCCGTTCGTGGATCTAATATAGCAGTCTGTAAATTTTCTGTATTTAAACAACAGCCTAACTCTTCAGCCATAGCAAGATTTGCCTTCGTACCGTCGCATGTCAATGCTTTGATGTAAACTCCGGTTTCATGAACTAGATGTAAAGCTTGGGTCACTAGTCGTGCTTTTAGGTCAGCACTTGTACCCTTTACTAAGAAGTACCCAATGGGTACTTTCCAAGTAGTATTAATGCCCACTAACAAAAATACTAAAGCATCAGTGGCCTCCTTCGAATTGTCAGAAATGAAGTCAAATCCATAATTAACATAACCAAAATGTCTTTTAGAACATGCATGGTACTCCGTCAATTGTTTTATTTTCATTTCATCTATCACTAATGTACAATACAATTTCTTGTCAGGGTTACTCTCTGCTCTAAGTTTTAAAGCGGTTAACGCTTCCTTTGTGAATCCAGGTCGGCCATCAATTGTACTATACCACTTTGTTATAGTACGTGGTGAGGGCAGACACGTTCCAAATGTTTTGCGCACATATCGATAAGCTTTCGGTGAATAGTAATGTAAAGTTAAAGCAAAACATCTGAGTTCTGGAGAATGTTTGAATTTAGTTTTAAGCAGCTGTCTGTTTATGAGTTCACTTTGTTCAACCCCAATATTTTGTAAAACAACTTAATTTTCTTTACTGATCAAAGATTTTCCGGATAGTTCATTTAATAACTCTTGCAAACCAACAACTTTTTTTTAAATAGCGTTTTTGTGATTGGAGTCTTTTAATATGATTTCTTTTTTGTTGTAAGTGTTGCTTAAATTTCCATTTCGTGGTGTATCTTGTAACTTATGTGTGAAACATGAGAAAGGTGCCATAGGATCGTGTTCCGAAGAAGATGAAGCCAGTTTTAAGTAACGCGCTATAGTCTGAGGTAGTTTTAATGTCACAAGCGATTGCTCATCAACTTTTCGTTTTTTAATACTTTGTTCTTCAAGATTAACGAACGTGGATGGTTTATTCTAAAATGTAATAAAGGCTCATAAATAAAAACTTTTGCAAATGGAGTTACAAAAGGGTTTAAAAACTCAAACAAGGAATATTCAAGTACTTTATACGGTTAAACTATCTCATAGATTAGATAAGATTTACAATATTTCTTATACGTGGAAACAAACTAAATTATAGTTCGAATATTCCAGATGTTACTTACTACTTATGTTGAATATTTGAAGTATAATTCATTAACTTTTATTTGTAATAAAATTACTATTTATTTCTGTAAATCTGAGGTATAAACATGATGAAATTGAAAACATATGACACATCGCAATGGGTCGGAGGGGGGGGGGGGGGGGTTAACATCTATTATTTATTAATTTTGCAATGTTATGTCATAAATATAAAAAACAACGAATAAATTATTTCAATGTTATTTAAGATAAAGTCGATGAGTAAATTCCTGCTTTAATTTTATGCTCTGATAACTCGTGTCTTACCTAAAAACAAATACTTGGTTAACACTGAGATTATTTGTTTGTCCTTATTTATTTATTTAAGCGCTAATAATTCGTGTCTCATCTGAAAACAACAATTTGGTTTACACCATCTAAGACGATAAACTTGTAAATAACATTTTAAAATGAATAAATATCGTTCACTAAACCTTCCATTTCGATTTGTTACATGTTTTAAATTTTTTCCTTCATAATGTAAAATAAACCTGTAGCAAAATAATAAACTTACTTCCAATACTTTTAAAGTCGGTACAGCCGTTTCATTTAGTTTCCTTTTATTATTTGATTGAATTACGAAAACCGATTGGTCAAAATGCTCGGAACAAATAGTGCTTGTTCGTTTAGGTACCCAGGTTATATGATTGCCACATGCTTTTATCCAAACTTGGCGCCTGTAAGGATCTTTCGGAAAACTTTAAAACCAAAGATCTTTTTAAACATTGTACAAAAAAGAATTTTAAATAACACCTTGGTATTAAATATCAAGGTATTACTTATAGTCAAATACAAACATCGACACTAAAGATTACAGTGAACATCACTATTATTGTCTTTATGATACCATTTTATATACTCGAAATTCCCCTTCTTTTCTTTTCATAATGTAACATAATGAAATGAAAATATCTATTTAAAATGTTTTAAATACAATAAAACAATATAAATTGATGTTTTTATTTCGTTAAAAACAATTAAAGATAATTAAAGATTATTAATGGTGTTTGAAATAATATAGTTTTTCAAATAGATCACAATAATATTGTTGAATTTAAGACTATTCAATAACACGATTTTGTCTTGTGTAATTAGAACAAAGAGAAACGACATTTGTCTACAATTAAGCAAAATTTAATTATGTCCTAGTGGTGCAAAAGTCCTTACTATAGTATTAATACTTTAATTTGGCAACACTACCTGCTCAGCTATATTAATCAGAATTTTCGTGATTTAATGCTTATATTAATTATTGAAATCAAAATAAATACTTACAGATGAAAGGTGACGCCGTCCTTTTGTAAATTTGAGGTCTGCGATCTTTTTTTACAAGAAAACACACTGCAACTTGGCATTTTTCTAGAGGTCAACTCACGCTTATGACTACTTGGTAACTGACGCCGTACGCGGCGCAACTAGTTTTATATAACGGGAATGATCCGCGCTCTCGTACCTTTGACAGCGGGGAACGCTCTCCAATGTCGTCTCCTGTTATTTTAATACTCTAAGGTTGGTGGTTTCTAACAGACTGTTTTATTCAAGTCATTCATACAAAGTTTCACCTAAATGTCTCATAGATGGCGCTACTTGTATTAATTAACATTATATTTGATAATATTCTAACACCCCCACTTTATACAAAATAACAACACTTTCAAAGTATTACATACAGTGGAGAGGTAAAGCTACAAAAAAAATGTATTTTAAACTCAATATACAATAACAAATACAGTATACAGTTCTGCCTTGGCTATTCTAAATTAACAATTCCAAAATCTTTCATGAACTTATAATGTTTAACAGCTGGCAGACCTTAGGTTAGCATGTCAGCAGGCATGTTAGCTGTTGACAAATATCTAGCTTCAATTATATCGTTTCTTAAAACTTCTCTAATGAAACGATACCTGATATCAATATGTTTGGATCGTTTATGTGACTGATCATTATTTGCTAACTTTAATGCACTCTGACTGTCATCGTACATAACAATTTTACTACAAGAACCAATTATTTCAAACTCTAACTTCTGTAAATATATTGCTTTTCGACATGCTTCCGACAAAGCCATATATTCTGCATCACAACTACTAAGAGCAACAGTTATTTGTTTCTTGCTTTCCCAAGAAATTACAGCACCTGATTTAGTGAAACAGAAACCTGTATATGAGCGTCTGTCAGCGGCATCACTTGCCCAATCAGCATCCACAAAACCTACAAGCTCTGCACTTTCTTTGGAATATTTTAAACAATAGGTCTTAGCCTGTGACAAATATTTCAGAATTATTTTTGCATAATTCCAGTGTACATAAGAATAACAGTTGTTAACCCTTTGCGTGCCAGCTACGAGATAACTCGTAGTGCGGGATTTCACCATGGTGCGAATATATTCGTAGATTTTGTAGGTCCTTCTACACAAAAAAATATTTATTGGCACTACAGGTAAGGTCGGATTTTGTACGTTTGGCATTAGCAAAGAAAACGCATGGTAATTTCAAACTTCAAACCTTTAATAGGAAAAAGTTATGATATGACAAACATAAGGTACTGAGTAATAGTATAAACAAACAAAAGAAGACATAATTCCGTCTTTTCAACAGTAGAAATATAATATTTAGTTGTGATAAGCTTTGAAACAATCAACTACACATAAAGCTGGAGTTTTTGAACACAATGGGCAAAAATACCTTGTTTCTTTGCGAGTCTTATTTTTGGTACACACAACACAAGGTTTAGTTGGCTTGCTTTTCTTTTCTGTAGGTGGTATATATTCCAAATAATGTTGAAGCAATACTTAACTACTTTTATTGACCTCTTTGGACTTCCCTGGTCTTTCAGAAAAGTAGATAATAACATTTTCAGTAAAATTCAGTAGAGGTATTCTCTCCGATCTGTTCAATCCAGATTGACCATTATGTATTCTTGCAGCATTATGTATAAACATTTGAAAAATGTGAATAGCGAACTTTTTGTACCAGTATTTGGTTTTTTTCATGCTCTCATAATAGGAAATCATTTGGTCAGAGTGGTCTACTCCTCCCATTCCGTTATTGTAATCAACAACAATATTAGATTTTAGTTTAAGTTGATTCCTGCGATTTTGATAGTTATCATTTCAGGATTGTGCATATTTAAAATGGTTAGAACATCGCGTTTGTCTTTCCATTTGCAAACAGCTACTTCCCCCTTTCTTCTCCAAATCATCTCACCTTTCATCAGCTTTGCCGATGTCACAACTTTTGGATTACCCTTACGGGTTGACTGCAAAGTTCCGCATAAGTAAGTTTTATTTGCACTCATTTTTCTTGTCAGCTCAACGGAGTTATAGTAGTTATCTGTATATACCTTGTAACCTTTATTCAAGTAATCATCTAACAAATCTGTTACAACTTTTATAGTTTGTCCACCTTCCTGACCTTCTGATTTGCAAAGTTTTATCTTCAGTATTACGCCGTTACTTTCACATAGTTTATATATCTTGATGCCGTATCTATGTTTTTTATTTTTTATGTAAACTCGAAAAAAAAGTCTTCCTTTCCACGACATTACAGATTCATCTATGCATAAATCTTTATTCAGGGCATAAATATCTTGCATCAATTTGTTGAAATGGTCTATCAAAAATCTTATTTTGTAAATACGGTCACTTTCATCAACTTCTTCGTTGTTTGAAAAATGGAAAAATCTGAATAGTATCTGGAATCTATTACGGCTCATCAAACTTCTAAAAAGCGGAATGTCATATAACTTATGCTTACTCCAGTATAGTGGTTATTGAGGTTATTGCAAGATACCCATATGTAAAACAATAGCAATAAATACCTTCATCTCGGCTTTATTCGTTTCTCTCCATTCTTTCAATCTTCACGAACGTCGCAAACGACGCGTTGAAAGCACTTGGGTGGCGTAACGGTTAGTTTCCGTAACTAAATTTTCCAAGAATTCGTTGTTGAGGAACAAATCAGCATACATAGAAGGAGCTGTGCTCTTATTAGTAGCTATCTTCGCACCTGGCTCAGGACCCAAAAACGGAAAGTCAGAAATTTCCCAGGGTATATCTATCCATTCATTACTCTCGTTTTCTCCTACCAAAGGGACATTTTCTTCTGAACTTGGCTGAAATTCTGAGTTAGACGTATCTGGAGCACCACTACTATCTAATGAAGAAGAAGATTGAATAGTATTGGATCGCAATGTAATAGCTTGTTATGTAGCTTGTGCGTTTGAACGAGACTCAGCATGTTCGCGCTCCGAAAACGAACTATGAGCGCTTGTATCAGGTTGCACATACAATTCGTCTTCATCTGTCGAAGAAAAGTCATCACCACTCTCGTCACTACTATCACAATTCGTTAAATCAGATATTTCTTGTTCACTTAATCTCTTAGCCATTTTTTATGCAGATAATTACTTGTTACGACAGCGCATCCTTTGCATTACGTAGCTAAACTGAATAATGTCACTCACATGCCACCACTCGGTCAGAAGACACGCCCCCTTACCGGCCGAAACTAGTTGCACTGTTAGTTCGTGTCTAGCTCCCGAACACGAAGCAACCTGTCGTGCTGCTTCCTGTTTTCCCGCCAAATTACGAAAGAATACCATTTTCTTTGCCGACTACGAGTATAGCCGTATACGAATATACTCGTAGTCGGCATAGTCGAATGGATTTATGTTCTACTATGCCAAGTACAATTTGTCTCGTAGCTGCTTATATGTATGACGGCATACAGCATAAACATACCAAAATATTTTGGCGCTGAAAGGGTTAAACTGGCTTGAATAACTGACTGAATAGGAAATATCAGGACGAGTTAGGACAGCTAAGTACATTAAACTTTCTATTAATTTTTGATAAGGTAGCTTTTGTTCACATACATTAGACTTATCAACATTAAATTTACATTCTATAGGAGTTTCTACTGCATGACATTCAGACATATCAAATTTTTTAAGTAACTGATTAATATACTTTTCTTGATCTAAAGTAATTACATTGGTGCTTTTGTTAATGTTTACTCTCATGCCCAAATAGTTTCTCACTTGAACTAAATTAGATTAAATTTTTGACTCAAAATCTCTTTCAAAAAAATTAAATTATCAGATTCAGACTTACAATTTGAATATACTAGAAAATCATCGACATACAGTCCAACTATAGTTTTCTTATTATCACTATGATTTTTAACAAATACACAGGGTTCTAATTTACATTTTCTAAATCCTGATTTACATAGTATCTCCTCAACCCTCTTATACCATGCTAGAGATGATTGTTTTAATCCATAAACAGCTTTTCTTAACTTTAAAACTTTATTTGAATTACTTATGGGAAAACCTTCAGGTAAATGCATAAATATGCTTTCTTTTAGATGACCATTAAGGAAAGCTGTTTTCACATCTAGATGAGTGATATCCATGCCTAACTGGACACTTATGGCAAACAACAAACGCAGGGTTGAATGTCTAATCACTGGACTGAAGGTTTCTTGGTAATCAAAGTCACTTTATTGTCTGAGTCAAACTTTTTTTAAACACCCACTTACACTGCACTACACTCGCGTTGCTGGGGACAACTTCCCATGCTTGATTGTCTTGGAATGACTGCAGCTCCTCTGCCATGGCCTGCGACCACATCAGTCGCTCTGGCCCACTGATGGCCTCTGCATATGTCAGTTCATCTTCTCCTGTAGCTGTAGCACACATGTTGCCGATACCGTATCTATCTGACTTTCTCCTCTGACGCTTCTCTGTTACTTCTGGAACTGGTGTAGTAGAATCTGCATGTGGTATATCTGAAGCTTCTTCTGTACTATGTGGAGCTGAAATAGTATGTTCAGTTTTCAGGTTTTCTCCACAAGCTTCTGACTCTAAACTTTCTTCTTCAACATCCAAGTAATCAGATTCTGAAGAACTTGACTTGTTCAGGGGTTCAAGTTTCACCACAGATTCCTCTACCAACTCCCCCACTGAATCTGTGCTTTCTAGAGAAACAGTTACTGTCTCTAGACGCTTGGGTTTTTCTTGTATTATAACATCCCTACTTGTGGTGACTTTATTCTTTACTGGGTCATATATTCGGTAAACTTTGACATTATCACTATAACCAACAATTATATGTTTTCTTGATTTTCTGTCCCACTTGGCTCTTTTTTCTTTTGGTGTGTGCACCATCACTGGACTCCCATATACACCTAAATGTTGTAAATCTGGTTTCCTACCAAACCACATCTCATATGGAGTCTTTTCAATACCTGAAGCTGTAGACCTGTTTTTGAGATATACTGCGGTATTTGCAGCTTCTGCCCAAAATTTTTTATCTAATTCTGCTTCAAAAAGTAGGCATCTAGCTCTATCCACAATGGTGCGATTGCTTCTTTCGCTGAGTCCATTCTGCTCTGGTGTGTAAGCATTTGATTTTTGATGAATTACCCCTTCATGTTTCAAAAAATCTCTAAAATCATTGCTGCAATACTCAGATCCATTGTCTGTGCGCAATTTTATTTTTCTGTTTTGAAAGTTCTCCACCATTGACTTAAACTCTTTAAAACAAGTCAGTGTTTCACTTTTACACTTTAAGAAGTATATGAAGGTCATTCTGGTGAAGTCGTCAATAAATAGCAAAAAATATCTTGCACCACCAATGGATTTGCACTCCATCGGTCCACAGATGTCTGAGTGCACAATCTGCAAGATTTCTGTAGCTCGTGTACCTGTCGTAAATGGTAATCTTGACTGTTTCCCTTCACAGCAAATTTGACAGCTAGACTTACTTGTCACAAATTTGTCTAAGTAATCCATTCCATTGACTAAACCTTGCTTCATCTTGTTCATATCTGTGCTGTTTAAGTGTCCAAGCCTTCTATGCCATATTTGTCCATCTACTGTTGATGATGATAACAAACAAGTCTCATTTTGCAAGATTAACTTGTATACATTATTTACAAGTTCAGCTTCCGCAACTAAATTGTCTAATCTGTTTTTTATGAGGCATCGGTCGGGTTCAAACGCAACACTATTTCCATTTCTTATCAATTCACTGACAGATAGTAGGTTAGTCGCAAGAGTCGGTACGCACAACACGTTCTTTACTGTAACCTTATAACCGAAACTCGTCGTGACATCTACGTCGCCGGCACATAATACAGGCACTTTCATGTTGTTTGCTACTGTGATTTCAGGTAAACTTGACGAATCCGTCCTATTTGTCAACCAACTTTCGTTTGTAGTCATATGTGTTCTGGGTCCCGAGTTAACATACTAGTCACATTTATTAAGTTAAGTTCAAAATGAAGAATAAGAAAGAAAAACTAAAAAGGAAGCTTTGGATCTTTTATTTTCTTCATCAGAAGGTTTGTTTACTCGAAGATTTTTAAGCATAAGTTGTGACTGGGCGTCGCCATTTTAAAATGTTAAATGCGTCCTTCGTTTTATCATAACAAATAATATCTCAAGGATGAAAATATTGACGAGCGACTATACTTGGTCAAAAAACTGTTTTGCTTACTGTAATTTCATATTATGTAATTCATACGGTACAACGAGCGAGTACATGTGATTTCTTTTTCTTTTTTCTTTTTTTTTTTAAATAAAACGTTACCCCCACACTAGGATTTTCTCCTGTGTCGTGGAGGCAGTTTACAAACATAAATTGCACAAGGACAAACATCCAGACCCGGAACAATTATTTGTAGGCCATACAAATACTTGTTCCTTGCGGGATTCGAACCCGCGACCCCCAGCGCAACAACTGATTGCTAAGCCACTGCGCCACGGAGCCGTCAATATTTTTTATTGACATTATTGTATAATAAATGTATCTAACGGTACTATCAACGAGTACATATGATACTTATTTCATACCCTATAACAAAAACTCACGAAATATTGCTATAAAGTTTCATTAATATTATCATACGGTACAAAGAGCGATGTACTTGCTATAAATTGATTCTGCAATATTTTCGCAGATGAAGCTGAAACATCCATTAAAAAGAGAAGGAGAATTATTGTGGAAAGCGACTCTGAAGAGGATTTCGACAGTAATTTGCCCATTTGTAGTAACAATAATAATATTCAAAAAATTGTCCATGTGGGTATAATCGATAAAACTATTAATGTAAATAATGAACTAAGAAATATGTGTAACACATTTCTTACGCAAGGGTTAGAGGAAAAATCAAATGAAGAAATTTTAAAAACATTCCCAACGATTAAAGATTGCCTTACATTACCTTCAAACCTCAACCCAGAAATAAATTGTACTCTGTCACCAGAAGCGTTAAAAAGAGATAAACATATTTGTCATAAACAAAATATTGGGTCTTAATTTGATATATTAATTGAAACGCGAATTAAATTAATTCACGAATTTTATTTAGCGCACACTTACATTTACTTAACTTGTCCAGCGAGTCAGAGATAGAGAGAGAGTGTTGCCCACACCATTTTTGTAAAGTTCCCCATTATGTATTACCACACACTTCCCCGCCCACATGTATTAATATTAGGATACACTTATCTAAATCTAAATACATAACATAGAACTTTACCTATATTAAAATACAAAATAGCAAATTCTTTCATCCACAATTATAAAATCTATCATGCTTCTATCATCCCCTCTTTCCCATGTATACATGTGAATCCTCTTATGGCGAAAGAAAGTGTTCGCCACAAAAAGATTCTTTTCCACACATACGGTGAGGAGGTCTTCA